TATATAAGCTTTAGCATCACTCCTGTTAAGTTTTGAGTTCCCTAAAGGAACTCTGCCTGCCTTTATTAGTGTTACAATAAACTTTTTGCCACCTGCCTAGAAAACTGCTTGAGTCCATGAATTCTTTCCAGACAACTTAGCCCTGTACCTCAGTATTTTGGGATCCCTACATCCCTAAATTGCATCAATACCATGTTATGGCAGCCAAGGAAAGTAAAGATATCACAAAGAAAGGGGTGTTTCACAGAGCTAAACACCACAGAGAGGTTCAAGGATGATGGGGAAACAACTAGATTTAGGGATATGGTGGTAATTAATGACCTTGGAGAGAGCTCTTCAGTACAGTAGTGGGGATAGAAGCAAAATTGCATAAGATTGAGGAGTGAGTAGTTGACAAGAAAGTAGAAGAGGCAAGTGCAGACTATTCTTTCTAAGCATTCAACAGTGAAGCTGAGGAGAGAAATAGAATGATCATTTAATGGGATGGCAGAGCCAACACTAGAGTTTGTTTTTAATATGATTTTTGTTTGCCTTTTTGTTTTCTTCTTAGTATCTTTCTAGTCTGAGGGGAAGGATCCAGCAGGAAGAGAAAAACTGAGAGAAGTGATGAAATTATGGAACAAGGCTACAGAGGAGATTGAGAGAACAGGTTGGCTTCATTGAGAAGGACCACCTCTTCCTCTGAGACTGGAAGGAAGAAAAGAGGATTAGAGAAGTGAAATTAAGAGAGTTCATCGCCAATGACCTCAGTCTTTTTGGTCAAATAGGAGACAAGGTAATTTGTCGAGAGGTATATGAATGTGAAGTTGTAGGTTAGGAGGAGAATGTTTTAAACAGTGCTGGGAGAGGATGAAAAAGAGTGCATAAGAGATTAGTCAAAAAGATTTCCATGTTTCAGATAGGGCCCAGAAATTAGAAAGCAGACATTGGCAGCTGACAGTGAGCAGTAAGCACAATTTTGTGGTTTCCTCCAGGAATCAGCAGAAGTCATGGAGGAAAGTAGAAGTTAGCCAGGACTGAGGGTTAACAGGGTTGAAAAGGTGGAAGGTCAAGGTAAAAAGGGACTGAAGGGTGAAGAAGGCAAGGGAACTCTATTGATTTAGCTGACCATGGGGTAAAGACTGGGCAGAGAGGAAAGTGAAACCAGAACAGGATTGACAGATTTGGACAAAGGGGAAAAATCAAGAACCTTCCTATGCCAAAATCAGTAGCCATTATGTAAAATATTTTTCAAACTGAAATCCCAATAAAGTGACCCTTGGCTGCCAAGAATTCCAGTAAAAAAAAAAATTTTTTAAATTTCCAGTCAACTAAGCAACTAGAAAATTTTAAATATACACTAAACTATTTTATATTGGATATTTAATAACACATATTTCTATTAAGACTGGCTATCTTAGCCATAAAACACTAAAATAATTTCTTGAAAACTTGTGTATGTGAAATGCCAATCAAGCTTGATTACTATATTACAAATAGGCTGTTATGTGGGAGCCCATTCTGCCATTTGGTTGAGAAGATTGCCATCTACTGGAATAACAGACACTGAACACTCACCCCCACTATTTAAGACTTTATATTACATGAATCGTACTAATAATAATAGTAATACTACTTACGTCATAGCATAATTTCTTCTTTTAAAAAGTAGCTCAAAAGAAACATGAAATCAGCAAATTTAGAGAATCCACCCCCACCCCAAATGTTCACATGGACTATTTGTGCCCAACCTATAGTAGAACATTCAGAGTTTGTATGGGTCTGATCAGCCACAGTTGGACACGCTGTAACTTGACTCTAACATAGTGATGTCATTTTGGTCTTCTTAGAGAACAAAGGACAACAACCACTAATAGAACCACCGAAGGGAAACTGTGATAGCAACTAGGCACTATAGAGTCCCATAACTACTTGGTCACAGATCAAGTTACTCTAAACTTTAAAGTCTAAAGATACAGCTGTGTTATAAATTAGTCCTGTCCCATTATTCAAGGAACTATGACAAGAACTACCTAATTGATCCTTATTTTTTCATCACTTACCTTTTTTTAAAGAAAAAATATTTTAAATAAAGAAAAATGTTTACCCTTACCCTACTAATCTCCAACTGTTATTTCTTAACCCCCGTTTTCATTTTGCCACATTAAAATAATAATAATAATTTCTATAGGTAATATACCTGACATAAGAATTATCCTTAAGGAAAGGTATGATAAATTTTGTCTTGCACTGCTCTTGTCCACTGGTACCTTCATTCCCCCCTTTCCCCAATGCATATATATATAATATGCATTATACACAATGTGTGTGTATATGTATATGTATGTGTATATATATATATACACATACCCTCATATATATACATATACACAGACACACACGCACACTCTTTCAGAAGGTCCATAGCACACTAGACAGTTGTTGGAAAAGTATGAAATTAAGGAGAAGGTAGCTCCATTAAATGGTGTTTAAAATGCCTGTAGGGGTCATATACATATATATACATACATGTATATATATATATATATACTGTTATTAAAACTAAAAGATTGAACTGTCCCTTCCACACCCTTCCCTGGTCCAATTTAATTTATTCAATAAAAACACTTATCAAATGCCTACCATGTGCCAAGTTGCACTAAAGAGGTTGCCCTTAGGTATTTTCACCTTCAAGAATGTCCCAATGTTCATTATAATCTGATTTCACATGTATAACAACCAAAAATCATGGTTAAAGTATTATGCTAGCTGTCAGTGTAGGAGATATTACAAAAATTAAATAAAGCACTATACTTGTTCTTAAGGAACTCCAGTTAGATACTTTAACCAATTTCACAGTATGCTCTGTTTTAGTTCTTTATAATATCTTCCACAAATCTTTCCTAAAAGAGTGGTGATAGGGAAATACACTTCTTGAATGTTTAAAGATCTGTCACATCATGGGTGTGGAGACTCCCTCCAGATGTAGATTACAACCCTTTTGTAATTTAATGGTCTTCTAGGGTTCTTGGGGCTGAAAAATTCATTGTCCTGCAGCCAAACTAGAGATGAGTCTCTCTGAATTTAGCTGGGCTAGTCCTCAGACAACTGACAAGTATGTTGACCCATATTTGAGGCCTTTCCAAGTTGTTGTGCTTGCCTTCCACTTAGCATAACCTCAAGAATCCAGAATCATCTCCATATCATGATTGCCAAGGAAGGCTTTAGTATGGTACAAAATAAAGACACAAAGCACTTGAATGACATCAAATTCCACTTGCCTCATTCTCTTGCTCCTAATAACTCCTATACTAATTGTCCAAACTACTCACTTAAGCATGTGTTTTATATGCATATTATATATTCATTTTATATTAATATGTAGTTTTATATGTATATGTTTTTTTTCTCTCCCACTAGATTGTAAGATTCTGAAAGGGAGAAATCTGATCTCAAATAGAGCACGGTACAATGGAAATAGGTCTGCAACTTACTACCTGTCTGACCCTGGGCAAGTAATTTAATCCCTGCACTTGAGTTTCCTCCCCTATTAAATGAGAAAATTGAACTAGATGAGGTCCTTTCCTGGTTTAAATCTCTGATCCTATTTCTTTATATCACAGCACCCAAGAATAGTGGGTGAGAGAATAGCTCTATAGAGAATAGCTCAATACATTTGTCAACTGATCTCTCACCCTAGTCCATACTTTTGTAAATGGGGTTGATAGTATTCACACAGTCAGTAGAACATCCACTATATATATTTTAATAGTAATAGCAAAATCCAGGATTTGTACTGTCCAGATAACATTCTCTTAATTGAATGTCCTTCACCTTTAGCACTCCCTCCTCTCCGTCCCCTCACTTAAATTTAAGCTGCATTACTCCTTTCATTGCAGAGGTGAGAGGCTATGAGTGTGAAAGATTGCATGTACTGTTGCTATGCGGGTTGGTTTTAATGTTCTTTTTTTCTTTTTTAATTTTATAAGAGGAGAAAGATACAAATGTGACAAATATAAAAGGCATAAGTTAAAAATTACAATTAAGAAGTTCAAAGTGCAAACAGAGCAAGCTAACTAGTTGGACTATTTGGGGATTGAAGTCACAACCTCTAGCAACTACTCCAAACAAGTTTTCAGTACAGCCGTTTTTTCAGTCCTGTCTGACACTTTGTGACCCCATTTGAGTTTTTTCTTTGTTTTTGGGCAAAAATACTGGAGTGGGTTTAGCCAGCCATAAAACTGGATCTGGGTACGGAAATGGATTGGAAATAACCCCTTAACAAATAAAAGGTGAAATTGCAGAAATCTTGTAACATAATCTCCAGAAAGACTGTTAACACAGGAGAAACAAGGTTGGAGGAAATGAGTAAAAGACTGAAATGTATCTGTCCTAACAACAGGTTAGCTTTTTAATTAACAATAAGTCAGTTCTCAGGGCTGCTCCGTGGATAGAGCACCGGCCCTGGAGTCAGGAGGACCTGCGTTCAAATCCAGCCTCAGACAGATAACACTCACTAGCTCTGGGCAAGTCACTTAACCCCAATTGCCTCACCAAAAAGAAAGGGGAAAGCTATTTGAAAAAGCCATTGACCAATAAGTCAGTTCGCAAGGGGGGGAAGGGGGGAAATCAGCTTCCACACCAGTGTGTCAATTTTCCAGCGCGATTAATTGGAGTTCCCGAAGCACTCTACCAGACTTTAAGACCTGTAAGGCCAGTTAGTCCAGCTTTGTCATTTTACAGAGGAGAAAACGGATCCTCCGAAGGGTGAAGTAGCAGGGCTAGATCGGAATTCCAGTCCTCCCTACATCCTGCGCTTTTCCCACGCCCCCACGCCATGCCTGGTAGCAAGCATTCTGTTTGCTCAATACCTCTAAAGGCCGCCGTGGGGTCGCAGGGAAGTTTTGGATGGGGGACGGCCCCACTCCACCCCCCCCCCCCCCCCCCCCCCCCCCCCCCCCCCCCCCCCCCCCCCCCCCCCCCCCCCCCCCCCCCCCCAGCCTGGGTCCGGAGCCACGTACCACTGCCCGCAGGTCTCGCTTTACAAGACGTCCAGAAGTGCTCTGTCTGACAACCGTATTCCATGCATGCCCAGAGGCTCCAGCCGTCCCGAGGCGCTCTCCTTCGCCGCGTACAGCGGCAGCCGCTCCTCCTTCCCGGGCCGCCGCAGCCGTGGGTGCGTGCCGATGATGTGGCTGGCGCTGCTACCCAAGCCCCGGCTCGCGCTCTCCTTGGTGCTGCTGTTGTCAGGTTGCCAAGGGGACCCTCGCGTGTGCGCGTGCGCTCAGGCCTCTACCCCTCCCCCACCACCCCACGCTAGGCTCGCTCCGCCCCCGGGACTTCTTTTCACTCTGGACTTCGTTCCGCCGATGCAGTCTGAGTTGCCGGCGCAAGGGGAGAGCAATAGAGACGGGGCACGTGGGCACACGGGCGTAACGTCTTGCAAGGCACTCCCTGGCTTCTCCGAAAGGCCGGCAACCTTTTCTGATGCTGATGGTTGCAAACTATGAGGCCCGGGGCCAGGTACTGGGCATCATCTAGGGAGACTTCAGTAGTAACAGGGTGGCGGTTTCGCTGTTGGCTAGTCTTAGAAATACCTTTACTACCACCTCCACAATCATAGGCTAATGGCGAACGTTTATACAGCACTTAAAGGTTTGCCAAGCGCTTTACGTATGTTATCTCTATCTGTAAGGTAGGTGCTGTTATTATCCCCATTTTACAGATGAGGACACTGAGGCTAATGGAGGTCAAGTGATTTGCCCAGGGTTAGTCATTACTAACTACCACTAAGTGGCTGAGGAAGAATTTGAATTCAGGTCTCCTGACTCCGAGTTCAGTATTCCATTAACGACTACACCACGTAGCTTCCAGGATCTGGTGTATTTACATTAGCTTAGAGCTGCAAGGGACCTCGGAAGTTAGCTAAATTCATTTCCTTTCATTTTACAGCTAAGGAAAATGAATGGTTTGCCTAAGGTCATGTAAGTAATATGCATCAGAGGTAGGCTTTGCACCCAGGTTCAGTGATTACAGAGCTCTTTCTAGGCTACTGTATTATTGTGGTTGGCATATATCATAGGATTTACAGCTGCTAAGGGTCTTGGTACTCAACTAGGGGAAAGTGTGATATATCAACCAATCAACAAACAGTAATTGACTTCTGGCAAGGCGCTAAGCCCTGGGGACAATACAAAGATAAAAATATGCCACAATCACTGTTCTCATGGAGCTTATTGGGGGGGGGGTTTCTCTGGGGGGGGGGGGGAACGACATCATATGCATATATAAGTATTGCGATAGGGACCTGTGATTTCATTGGTTTAGGAAACTCCCAAGCTAGGAAACCTCCTTTGCCAGTGTGGTTAGTACCTCCTCTGTAACTTCAAGTCTTAGACTGTTGCCTAGAGTAAGAAGTTAAGTGACTTGCCCAGGGTCACCCTGAAGTGAGGTTTTCCTAGTTTCAAAGCATGTTTTCTATCCACCACACCATTCTGCCTCATATCCATATATCTATATATACACAGGATAAATAAGGAGGGCAGTGTGCTAAAAAGGGCATTGGTGTTGGAGGATATTTGAGTTCGAATCCTTTCTCTGACACTTACCCTGTGACATCAGATCATAGGACTTAGAACTGCAAGGAACCTTAGAAGTCCAAACTCCTTTGTCTTACAAATCAAGGTACCTGAATCCCAGATAGTTTAAGTGATTTGCCCAAGATCACATAGGTAATAAGTATCAGATCCAGGATTCAAACGCAGGTCTTCTGATTCCAAATCCAGGGCTCTTTCCATAGTAGAAGGCTCCCTTTATCTAATTAAAGAAATATAAGAGAGAATTACCTCTGTGCCATCTAATAAATGTAGCCAGTCTGATTGAAGTGGAACTCACTTCTATCAGAAATTATGAACCTCAAGGTACTAATGTACAAAAGGCCTGTGGAAAGCAAGATACTTGTTCCACAAGTTCAAGGGTCTTCTGGATTTGCCTAATTTTCAGCCATCTTAAGGCACTGAATATAACTCCAGACCAGTCCCTGTAACCTCAGTAGTCATCATCTGCCGAGGTCTCTCATATGAGATCCCAAGCCTCAGGGATCCAGAAGCCCTGTAAAGACTGCACCAAGTAGAACCTGTTTGCGTAGAATCATAAGGTCATAGATTTAGAGGTAGAAGAGACCTTAGAGAGCAATGAATCCAGCCTTCTTATTTTACAGATAAGAAAACAGAGGCCCAGAAAGGCTGTGACTTTCCCAAGGTCACCCATAGTTAAGTAGCAGAATTGGAATTTGAACCCAGGTCCTCTAACTCCAAATTCAGTGTAATTTCCACTTTGCTCAGGGCAACATAAGAGATCTCTGCTTTGGGGGACTAAGATTGGGAGCCAGGAGCCAAGTGACTTGATCTATATTCAGGATTCATTTTTTGAGTGCATCACTAGACAGTTGTCTAGTGCAGAATGTGAGCTCTATATTGCCCCATTTTCCTAACACCAATCATGCCTTGCCAAATCCCAACCCTATATTACTCCTACCATTCACTTCCTATTCACATGTTGCTAGAACAGAGCTAGAAAAAATCAAGAAACCAAGCTAACTGGGTCCACAACAAAGTTATGTTGCACAATTTCAGCTGGGTCCTCACTGCAGCAAGGCAGTCCTTTTGCATCTCTCCAATCACTTCCTTATCTTAACCACCGTGGTTATTCCAAACCTTTTCACTGTCTTCATGCCTCTCACCTTACGCCTTCCCCTCACCCCCTCAGATGAGAACCTCTTACCTCATGCTTTAATGAAATAATTGAGTCTACTAACCGATTCCTCCTTTCTCTTACTGCTCCTCAGCTGTCACTCAGGCATCTTCCCCTACCATATTCTCTTTCCACCTTTCCTATAACTGTCAAGGGTACCATTATCCTTCCAAGCCCTCTGGATGGCAACCTCAGTGTCATCCTTGACTCCTTTGCATTTATCCCCCATATCCAGTCTCTGTTGCTGAGTTCTATCAATACTACTCAAAATATCTCATCTATACTCTCCTTCTATCAACTCAGGTGGCTACCACCCTAGTACAGGTCCTCATCCACTTCTCAAGTGGACTACTGCAATAGCCTTCCAGTTGGTCCCCCTCCTTCAAGTCTCTCCCTAACCCAGTCTATCCTCCACTCAGCTGCCAAAGGGATTTTTCTAAAGGGCACTTCTCTCCCCTTCCCACTTAACTCAGTAAACTCCAGTGGCTCCTGGTTATCTCCAGGATCAGATATAATGTCTTTTAATGTATTTTGTTTGGCATTCAAAGCCCTTCACAATTTGGCCCCTTCCTACTTTTCCAACCTTCCCCTCCAGAAATTCTGCAATACAGGTACATTAACCTCCTTGCTGTTCTTTGAACATGACCTTACCTTTCCCAACTCCACACCTTTGTACTGGCTATCTCCCATATCTGGAATGCTGACCTTCACCTCTTAGCTTCTCTCAATTCTCAGCTCAAATCCCACCTTCTGCAGGCATTTCCTGGTTTCCCAGTCCCTCCCACCCTACCCTCAGCCCCCACATTCCCTCAGAAATGGCTTATCTACTCTGTATATATCTTGTATATGTCTGGTTATTACATGATGGCTTCCCTTTTAGAATGTGAGCTTCTTGAGGGAAGGACAGTATTTTTACTTTTCATTGTAGACCCAGCCCTTAGCCTAGTGCTTGATACATAGTAGGTTATTTATAAATACTTGTTGACTATGACCCCAAGCACGTTATATAAGTCCTCTAAGCATCCATTTTTTTCATCGGTAAAATAGGTATAATACCAGTAGTATCAACCCCCAAAGGTTATTGTGAGGAGCAAATGTGAGTTTTGCAAACCTTAAAGGCATTACATAAATACTGGCTATTAGAATCTAGTCAAACCCTCTTTATTCAACAGATGAAGAAACTGAAAATCAGCAAATTGAAGTTATTGATTCAAATCCAGAACATTTGACTCCAAATGAAGTGCTCAGTTTCCTGAAACTATGCCTGATTTCAGCTAGTTTTCTACTAAATACCAAGGATACAAAGTCTGTGTGCATTATAGCCCAGTTGTGGTGGCAGTGGTGAGGAAAGGCTTGATAAAAGTTTGGGTTGAGGGGCGGGGGTAAGTAAGATAAAGAGGAAAGAAACTGAGAAATGTTTGCCTCTCAAAGGATGGTGTGATCACGAAGACTCTTAATGCATCTCTTTGCTGTGGTTTTCTCATTCAGAATCTATGCTTTCTAAGTTAGAATTTTTTTTTTTTGCTTTTTGGTGAGGCAGTTGGGGTTAAGTGACCTGCCCAGGGTCACACAGTTAGTAAATGTCAAGTGTCTGAGGCCAGATTTAAACTCAGGTCCTCCTGACTCCAAGGGTGGAGCTCATCCACTGTGCCACCTAGCTGCCCCTTCTAAGTTAGAATTCTACATAGCACTGGATATTCCATAGCTACATACAAGTTTTGCAGATACAAATAAAAGTTTTTAAATGTACATATGTATATATGTTTATATATTATATATGTAAATATATTATATATGTTTACACATTTATATATATGTGTGTGTATATATATATAAAATAAATTTTGAGGGAATAAAGGGAGGGAGGGAAGGAGATCAGGAGGAAGGGAGAAAAGGGGGGGGAGAGGAAACAGAGAGATTGAGGGACAGAAGTGAGGAGTGAGGGAAAGAGAGATCAAGAAAGACAGAGGGTAAGCAAGCAGCATGACATAGTAGACAGCCAACTTCTGTTAAGAAATGATGGGTTCAAATTCCATCTCTGGCACATACTGCTTGTATGACCTTGGATAAGTTACTTGCCCTCAGTGACACAGGTAACTCTAAGAGGAGCTTTAGAGAGCCCAAAAGTCTTAGTATGATAAACCCAAAGATCCCAGCTTCTAGGATAATAACTCACTATTTGACAAAAACTGCTGGGAAAACTGGAAAAAAAGTAGTCGATGACTATAGTAATCTACTATTTGATAAACACAGAAGTCTTAGTATGGTTTTAAGCTGGGCCACCCTATCAAATTAACTAAGGGAGGCCATAAGCAGGCCTAACAGAAAAGGCATGCTGAAATATCTACTCTTAAACATTATAGCAAAGCTACTGTTTAGAAGCACGAGACCTTAGTGGGCACAGCTTCAAGAAAATCCTGCCAACTTCTTCTGAGCTCCATTTTTTTGTATAGGCAGGGTTTGATGCCTGGGGGGCTGGATAGATCTCAGAGTACCAGAAAGTTTCACAGATGGAGTAGCTTTCACAGCAACCAGAAGTTTATTTACAGGCTTCACTCTGGCAGTTTGGAATACTGAGTATAGAGGATGCCTGAACCCACCCCCCCAGCCCTACTCCTACCTCTTTATATTACAAGAGGAAAGGGTTGTCCACACACACACACACACACACACACACACACACACACACACACACACACAC